GAACTCAGTCTGGTTTGAAGCGTCGAGCGGTATAGATAGATCTAACGAGTGAGAAAATCGGAAAAGTGATTCTTCTCTTGGTAAATAAATTGTTTGGTAAAAGTTTTTTTGGTAAATATCATCTTGTGAGTTAGTAATAACGATTAGAAATTTTCAACCTATGTATTTATTTATATTTTTTATTGGAACAATGGCAAAACGTTGAAACACGAATGAGTCTCATGGCACAAGTAGTAGCGAAGATGAGCTCCAGATAGACGTTTATACAGATATGTTAGAAAGACTAACTGTAGAAGGTTTTCTTCTACAGTTAGTCTATCGTTTCGATAGCAGCGATAGTGATATCGTCCAAGCAACAAGGCGACGAGAGAAAGAGTTCGCATAGATAGCGATTACAACAACAAAACAAAATTATAAAACAAACAACAACAAAATTATAAAAAATAAAATATTGATTTTTTTGCAAATTTCTCGATTTCAGCCAAATTCATATAAGTCCGATATCATTATAATATGTTAGTTAGTTCCAAAAGCATACTAAATAATACGAGGGTCGGTAAATGCCCGTTTCTGCCGGAAAGTGGCGCCAAGTAGCTGGTAGCCAACGTCCAGAATGGTTCGGAGTGCTAAGGGTTAACGTTCCTCTGTCTCAAACTCGTCGAAGTTACGAAGATTCTTTCGCAGATTCTCTCACAGCAGACGCTCGAGCGAACATCTCAATTCAAGCAATCGAATGCCCGCTGCGATCGAAACAACAGAAGGTCTCGATAAATCCAGGGTCCCGTCATTCTCCCAAAGCAACGCGCGTCGATCAGTTTCAGAGCTCGGCGGATTGGACCGCCGAGGAACGGGGTCGTCGCCGAAGGAAGGGGCCCGAAAACGGTTGCCGAATCGAAGCGACCGGAAGTCACCGGAGGAACCGCCGCAGAATCGTCGGTTAGAGTTTCCGGCGCAGCCTCGAGCCAACGGAGGACGAAAACGCCGACACGAATCTCCACTTTCGAGGAGCGGTATTTTATTCGCGAGAATGGTGTTACCGGTTAAACGAGAGAATCGTGGGAACAACGTCGTGGCTAGACGAAGAAGACGAAGAAGAAAAAGATGAAGAAGAAGAAGAAGAGGAGGAGGACAAAGAGAAAGAAGTAGAAGAAGAAGAAGCATAAGAAGAAGAAGAAGACGACGAAGAAGAAGAGGTAACAGAAGCAAGTTAGCAAGCGAACTAGTCGGTGGAGGAGGGCGAAGGAAGGAGGTGAAAGAATACGGGCAGCCAGTAGGGAGAAGGTCTCTGCGACGAGGATATCGCTGTATCGCGAGCACCAAGGACACGAATAGGCCTCCGCGTGGTTGCTTCGAAGCGAAAGAAGGGATATCCGAGTCCCCACTATTAAATGGCTCGACTTCGACGCAGGAAAGGAGAAGCTGCGTCGGGGGCGGCGGAACACCATCCAGCCTCAGTGCTATTTCAACACTCGACAGGCGTCAGCTAGGGGAGCGGATAGAGTGTGGTTCGTGCGATCTCTTTGGGCGACTATCGACCGACAGGGAGCCGTCTCTTCATTCTTCTTCAAGCCGACTATTCGTTGGAGAATCGGAAAGAACCTTGGGCGCAGGGAACCGAGAAGCTGAGACGAAGCAACGGCGATAAAACTCCGAGAGGCCAAGATCGTCGCTTCGAAGCGTCGCGATTTCTCGCGAGACGAAGCAGATCGAAACCGTTTCGCGCGGAGAATCAAGTTCGAACGATCGTTCGGACGAAAAAGGATACCGACGCGAGACGCGAGAGTAAGATCCGCGCGGAATTTCGGAGCGAAGAGTTCGAATCGCAGGAAGGTTTACGCATTTTGTTCCCGAAATTGCATCGCGCGGATGTCTCGTGGGAATCTCGGGCGGAGGTAAACGGCCACGAAGGTAAATGGGAAGTGATACGCGAGACAATGACCGAGGAATAACGGCTGGACGGGGAACAATGAGGGGATCCGACGCGCGTAAAAGGTAGAGAGGCGCGTGTAAATCAAGGAATCGGTCCCAGCGGCGCATCCAGAATTGAAGGTTTCCTCGCGGTCTTATTAGAGCACGAAGCCGAGGCGCGCGCGCGGACGATGCAGCGGCGGCACGCGATCGTCGCGAACACGTGTTCTCGGTTTCCCGCCAATTAGTATCGGTACGCGTGGAAACGCGAACGAGCCGAACGAGAATCGCAGCCGCGGATAATTTGCCCGGGGAATCACGGTCACAGGGACGCCCTGTCGTGCTCGGTGATTAAGGACGCGGCCCAATCGTCGACGTCGGTGATTAAGGACGGCCAGGCACAGGGATCCCGCTCGCGAATTAGAATGGCGTCGTTGCTCCCGTGGTTCCCGTCCGTGCCGCACCTCGGACCGTGACGATCCGGCGATCCTAATCGCGGCCGACAAAAACCCTTACGGGAGACTCGGCACCCGGAACCGCGGGAAAAAACGGACCCCGGCGTCGGCGTCCGCTTGTAAAAGGGGCGCCGCGCGGAGCCGGCCGGCAAAAAGGGAGAAGAACAGGGTCGCGTTTCTGCTATCTGCGAGCCGTGAAATTGGGACCTTGCGCTCCGCCGATGAAAATTTCGGTCGCCGCCGTTCGGGGAAGACGACGCCGGACGCGGACGCCGGAGAAAAAAAAAGAAACGAAGTCGACCGAAAAGTCGTTAAGTCGCGCGGTTTTTCGGCTGGCACCGATGATGAATTTTTAAATGGCAGAGACAACAGCGAACGGATTTTAGTAGCGGCTTCTGGGGCAGAAGCCTCGCTCGGCGAGTTGCGACGACACCGGAGACCGGAGCAGAGGTTTCTCCGATGCGTTTTTTTAGCGAGCGCGAAGCGGATCGCGGACTCTTCGTTATCGATGCAGATCGAACGGCTTCTTTCAACTGTTATCCTGTTACTTACGAGTGAATCGGAGGGAAGAGATCGTTCCCCGAGTGTGAGATCGTTTTTTTCGGAGACGAACGTCGACTCGACACGAATGTCCTTATAGAGCTTGAAATCGTAACAGTGATATATAGATAGATCGAGGAAAATTACAGCGACGGTAAGAAATGAGGAGAGCGCGTCCCGCGAGAAAATATGCAGAACACGCAAACAAGAGCGCAGCGACGACGAGAAACGTTTGGAATTGCGATTGAGAAAACTGGAGCATAATATTTGACGACCCGTGAAAACGGATAATAATTATACGGAAAATACGTGCCGAGGAGATACAACATGGCGGATCAATACGTGGATTAAAAAAGGAACGATCGTGATAGGATCGAAGATCTGGACGATAGAAGACGATCGTTGCTTTGTGTTCCGAAGGAGAGGAATACTCGTTACAAAGTAAGAATTTAGCGAACGTTTCGTAATTGAGCCGTTTATTTTGAAAGTGGCATAAGTCACTTTACCGTAATGAAAAGTGGTGATTTTTTAATGTTTATACGAAATTATTTATGCTGAGAAAAGTAGCAGTATGCTGAGATAACAAATACAAGTAAATCTTCTCGAAAGTTAGCATCCATATTATTATAAATTATTATAATAAATTATAAGTTATATAATAATAATATTATATATATGTATATTAATATATATATATATATATATATAATATTATAATAAATTATTATTATAAATTATTATAAACGCAAACCCTTAAATATATCGACTTCAAAACAAAGTGACTTATGCCACTTTCAAAATAAACGGCTCAACTCTTGTACCTTTTTTTCAGCTAAATGGCGCCGTCAATTTTCACGTTTCAGACGACGCAAAATTTGTTTGTTTTTTCTCGTTATCGTGTTCTATCTCGGCGGATTTGTTCGAAACGTGAGAACAGCGCGTCATCGATTGCAGTAACGTGTATAATAAAAATGAAAAATCCATATTGCGGGAGTACGTTTTGTTTAGAAGCATATTTAAAACGCGTACGATAGTTAACAGAAAATAGAAAGTTCGATTATTGGGTTGGCAACTAAGTAATTGCCGATTTGTTCAAAGAAATAAATTATGATTATATATATTATAATATTATTGTTATAATTATATAATATATAATTATATAATATATAATTATAATAAACTTGGTTACAATCAATGGACAATATTATGAGGTACTCTAAAAATTAATCTACTCTAAATATATTATTATAATAATATATATTGTTATAATATATTGGGTTGGCAACTAAGTAATTGCCGATTTGTTCAATGAAATAAAAAATTTCTTTTTACTTGGAACGAAGTTTAATCTGTAATATATGTTCCATTTTGTTCGATGACGTTTTGCCATCTCTCTGACAACTTGAAAATTCCACGCTCGTAGAAAGTCTGATCCTTTTCGGCCAAAAACTGAGTTAAGTGAGATTTTACAGCGTCATCATGATTAAAAGTTTTACCACGAAGGGAGTTGTCCAGGGATCGAAATAAGTGGTAATCCGATGGCGCGAGATCAGGGCTATATGGTGGGTGTAACATCGATTCCCAACCAACATCCATCAATTTTTACCCAGTGGACAAAGACGTGTGCGACCTAGCATTGTCTTGCTGGAAAATGACACCTTTACGATTGACCAATTCTGGTCGCTTTTCCTTGACCGCTGCATTCAATTTGTCCAGTTGCTAACATTCATAGATAATAAATAATATCATAATAATAGTAATAATAATAATAATTTTATGATATAACATTTACGGATATCATAAAAATGGGAGTGAGAGACATCTACAACTAAAATCGGCAATTACTTAGTTGCTAACCCAATAGAAGCTGGCATTTCAGCGCAAGTATCTTCTTTCGAGGATACTTATCGCCACCGCAAAAAAAAGAAAACGAAGATCGGTTTTCATTCGGACGATTTGGACGCGATCGAACCGCTTAGAGATCTGCGATCGCATACCGCGAGATCTTGGAAAACGTCGAAGACCAGTCGTTGCCAGCAACTTGTTGTCGATTGAAATAACGAACGTTGCCAATGAACGGAATAATTTACATTTCTAACCTGTTGGCGATTAAAGCCGACGAATTTCACCGGTGATAATAAGAGATAAATGATCGACCGTACGGTTGAATGGGAACAAGAGATTGGCTAGTTCTCTTTAAGAAAAATCGTCTATATGATTTTGTATATAATAAATTTTATAAAATTTTATATATAATATTTATTATATTATATAATTATTATATATATAACTATATAAAAAATTATATAATATATAATATATATTATAAATTATCCTAATTTCTTAAATATATATATATATATATATATATAAAATATAATATATGTATAATTATATAATAAGTATATAAAATTATATAATTTTATATAACGACTTACGTCGTCGTGTCAGAGCTCGTCCCCGTTACAGTGAATTCTACCTCATTAGCGCTCAGGTTCCCTCTAATGATTGCCTAATGATTCCCTAATTCAAATTGCGCAGACATATGGACAATTTGGGCAGTGGAGACACGATTGCTCGATTAATTATCGCCTCGATTTTATAGTTGTCGACAATCTGTACCTATAAAAACGAGCTGCGAGGCTCGAACAATTTTATTAGGAAGAAATTAGGAAGAAGTTGGAAGAAATTAGGAAAAATTAGAAAGAATTACGAAGAAATTAGGAAGGATTACGAAGAAATTAGGAAGAAATTAGAAGAAATTAGGAAGAATTAGGAAGAATTAGGAAGAATTACGAAGAAATTAGGAAGAATTAGGAAGAAATTACTGTAAATCTGACAGGAATACGCTGTTTTCGTTCCGCGAAGATTGGAAACGTAACGATGCCAGTATATCCCGATATAGATCTGACAGATAACGACGGTTTTGCATACGAGGTCGATTCCGCCGGCCGGAATGGAAGCAACGGAGACCGTAAAAACTCATAACCCGCAACGATTCCGCGAAATGTAGGTGGACAAGGGAGCAGGAAGTATCGCGGGCCAGTAAACCGACCGATAGAAAGCATGGGAAACGTCGGGCCACGGAGTATCGTTTTCCTTATCGGCCACGGTGGAGGATAGCCGATACTCTTCTTCGCGGCTCGCCGGCAATAAAGTATTCCTAATCGGGCGATTTTATTGAACGAGGCTCGTCTAACGTTTCAGGAGTAGAAAGCGATATCGTCTACGACACCCCGACGCGGAGGCCTAGGTCAGCCCGGCGGGATCGTGTGACATTATTGTTACGCCGATCGCGGCCGAAACGTCCAGCAGGATCGGCACGAGCCCGCAGAAATAAGGTCGATCGCATTCCCTTGGCCTCGGTGCTGGCGAACAGAGGAGGCTGCCCGCAACATTGCGGATGGTCACGATTCAAAGTGGGTGAGTTTTAACAGCATCGTGGACGCCGATGCTCCAATCGGACACGGACACGTTTCGGGAACGAGCAGATCGAATTCTTGAACTGTGGACATTTCGTATCGGACGAAAAGAAATAAATGAACAGCGATGAATAGCGAATGTAGATGAAAAGCGAGTCTGGTAACTGGGTCATAACGGTGATATATACAGTGCTGGATATATTATATTTCTGCGTGTTTTTCGTTCATTTATCGGACATTCTGTTTACTACTTACCGTTCTCGGAGAAAATGCACACGTTTTCAGGTAGATTTGCGACTGTTACGTTTTTATTTAGCTTTCGCTGTCGAAAAGAGTTATAGTTATATATTTACTTATAATTATATATAATCGAATTATACGTAATCGGATTATATATAATCGTATTATACGCAATCGAATTATATATAATCGTATTATACGCAATCGAAATTATATATAATAAAAAATCGAATTATAATTATTAGAATTATTAGAATTAGAATTATCGATTATAATAAATCGAATTATGTATAGTATTATACGTATATAAGCGAATTATATATAATCAAATTATACGTATTTGAATTATATATATAATATATATTATTATAATTATATTATATAATATATATATATATATAATTGAATTATACGTAATCGAATTATATGTAATCGAATTATACGTGATCGAATTATATATAATCGAACTATCAGGATATGAAAAATAAATTATGCTTAATAGAGCCGTATCATTTTCGGTCCTGATACGTGATTTAAGGGATGAAATCAAGGATAACATAGAGAGAAGATGTAAAACTGTAAACAAATTGTTTAAAGTTGCGTAATATTTTAAATACGCCTATCCCCCTCTGTCTTTTTCTCAAATACGTTTGTAGCTCATGTATAAGCATTTCGTTTTAAAAAAGCGTAGAACCATAATTGTCAAATATCAATCTAAAACATATCCGTGATATCTATAAACATTTGCATTGCTTTTGTTTGACACGAACATACCGGACAGCTGTTGATTTATTTCGTCGTGACTAAGCGAACGATAATGGCGCGAATGAAAGAACGAATCATCGTACCTTCGAGAGAAGAGCTGTTAAATGCAATTTTAAATTGAACAACGCCGCGCCGTTTCGCTGAAAGACGATATTTCGCGGTTCGTGGAAACGCGCATTAACCGGCACATCATTAATTACGTCGCTTCTAGAACGAAAGAAGAAGAGTGTTTGTAGACACAGTGAACGTGCTATCATTGGCTCACTGACGATCCTCCATGAAATTCTGATTAGACTGCCTCTAGCTACCATGACCACTGCACTTTTCCGGTTGAATTTTTTTTACCTTAGCGCCTGTTTACTCTGCGAATGAGACTAATCGATTTGGCTAATCGATTACATTTACATTTAATGGACCATTCCTTTCGAACATTGACAGTTCAGTTCCCTTTTTTTTGTTGTATTCGAATTCGAAGGAATACACTTTCCTTGAAAATTCGGAGACCTTTGAGTTTAGAATTTAGTATTTCATTGGTAAAATATTAGGTCTACCGGAAAGTTCTGTCCGTTTAAGAAATGAAAGGAAATAATAGACTTTTCATAAATTTAGTAATATTTATTGTACAATATAATTTCCGTCGTTACTTGCGCCGTTTATTTTGAAAGTGGCATAAGTCACTTTGTTTTTAAGTCGAGATATTTAATGGTTTGCGTTTTAACACGTTTAAAAATATGGATGCTAACTTTCGAGAAGATTTACTTGTATTTGTTATCTCAGGATACTGATATTTTTCTCAGTATAAATAATTTCGTATAAACATTAAAAATTCACCACTTTTCATTACGGTAAAGTGACTGAAGCCACTTTCAAAATAAATAGTTTAGAAAAAATGACTGACATATATTAATTTTGTCCGACGTATTTTACCGAAGTGATGTTTTGGAAGGACAGTGATTTACTAAAATTGTTGAATAAAGTACATATATAATAATAATTTATATCATGAACATATTTAATATAAAGGCTTGATTTAAGTATTTTTTATTTTAATATTCATAAAATACAAAAATAATTAGTACATTTTGAAACATAAGTATAAGTAATTTATATGAAAATACATCGGTTCAATTTAATTTTCGTCATCAATAGGAGTGATTAAGTCCTCGGAAATCGTGTTTTGTTTCAAATTTTTAAAATAACTGTGGTATATTGGGGGTATATAATTAAGCAAGTCCATCATGTCTTTGTATTTTGCTGAAGAAACAGGACGAGATCCAGCGTATAACGGATCCATTTCTATTTGTGAATAACGCCTAGGTCTTCCTCTTTTTGGTGACAAATCCAAAGTTAGAAATTCATCTTTTTCATCTAAAGTTAGTTTATAAAACATTTTATAGCCATCTGCTGGCGGGTCTGGAGGTAGCCGCCACATCACTATAATATAATTTACAAAACTGCACTATTCTTTCGCACTTATAAAAATAAGTCCAGTGATCACAACTTTTTTAAAAATACTGAAAATAATTCAAAACAATACTTCACACACACTTATCACACGTTTCTATTTCTTTTACACTAAGCCCCGCAATTAATTTCCTGAGTACAGCGACTTACGCCACTTTCAAAATAAACATGTTTGTTATACCGTTAATTAGCAAAACTTCTCTCGAACAAATCTCAATAGTTCTCAACTTATTGATTGCAAATTTTTTTAAAATGAAAAGATACCGTTCAATTGTAATTAGTGTTACCATTAACTCGATTTTTTTGAAAAAGTGACTTATGCCACTTTCAAAATAAACGGCTCACTTATGACTTCTGGCCAGCGTGATGGCAATTTATGTGTAACATTTTTCAATAATATATGTCCCAAATGAACATGTGCATACCTATTGAAATTTGCAATGACATTATCGGACGGTAAACCTAATATAACATTCAGAGAGTGCTCGGTAGGTCTGAGAAAAACCTTTTCCAACGTTTTCGGAGACTTTTTAATTTATGTAGTATTCGTATGGAAAGATCTACAATAATTTCTCCCTAATTCGCGCTCAGATTGCGCACAAAAATGGACAATTTGCGAAGAGGAGATACAATTATTTGAGCCTTGCGGCACGTTTTTACAGTTACCGATTGTCAACGACTATAAAAGTGAGCCGCAGTGCTCGATTAATCGTGCCTCCTCTTTCCATTTTTGTGCGCAATCTGAGCGCTAATTAAGGAAAAATTACTGTATCTTCAGCTTTCCATACGCTATGTCATGTACAAAATAAATCAACACCACATTGTGAAAACAAAAGTTTCGGGCTTTAGAATGGAACTAATTGCTAATTTTATAATTTCGTAAAAAAGAATCTTGTCGTATCCTGTAATAATAAATATAGATCTATTGTTATCTAGATTTATTATTTATTGTGTATCGTGTAACAATAAATCTAGATTTATTATTCATTGTGTATCGTGTAACAATAAATCTAGATTTATTATTTATTATATATTATATATACAAGATTCTTTTTTACGAAATTATAAAATTACCAATTAAAATTTGGATCTGAATACTTTTAGGAGACACGGCGAAAGTATGGAGCATACAAATTTGTTGCACGCGCATTTATTCATCTTAGCAACGTCTTCCGTCCTAAAATTCTTTCTGCGACACACTTTTTCTCAACCACGAAGACAAACCGTGAAATGCTCATTCGAATGCTGGTCATTCGAACAAATAAATGCAACAGCTATTTTGCAAGCATACATTTGTGTCACCGTAGTTTCCTTCTTGAAATCATGCTATTCGCACGACTGATAATACATACAACGTGACCGAATAACTAAGGTGAGAAGTTTATTGCATTCTCTTTAAAGGATGTTCCCTACATTTCAAGATGTCATTTACAAATGATGCATCGGCGGCGACACGCGTCAAACTTGGACAGCAACGAAACTATTTCCTCTATGACATTACGAATGTCCTCTGCGAATGACAGTTCGATAAAATTTGCTAAAGTTAACCCCGTTCGTTTCTCTCTCGTTCGAGAGCATCCTGTCCATTCTAGGACAAGATATACGATTCCGCGGGGTCCATTTTATTTGAAAAACTGAAGATGCATGAAAGCATCCTGGATGTCCTGTTCGAGAACGACGTCTACTGCGATTTCTCTTCCGATGTTCCCGACAAACGATGAGCTATTAATAATGCTGTACGATCACCTACTTCATGAAAAACTACATTGTTTTCTCCTTCTTGTAGAAATTCTATTAGAAAATTAATCAATCATCTGTTATAGCTTGTGGGGAAAGTCGACGTTGCAGCTTACATTCTCTGATGCGCAAAGATTTATCAACAGAACTTTTTTTTTCGTGAAAATTATTCGTCTCCTTGACATTCGAGGTTATATTTTGTTCGACCTACTAATATTATACATTAGCGAGATATCGATATCATTTATAATTAGATCGCAGATTTTTACGAGATGGTTTTAATGAATTTACACGAGGTACAATTAAAACGATATTTCTCTACTCCGAGAAAGATTTTATCGCACTCTAAAAGAGATAAATATCTCGTTATTTGTTGTCGCGCGATATTCTTCTCGGTGCAATTTAAAAAGACCAAAGGTGCAATAATCGTACAAAATTGAACTATTCGATTATAACTATTAATGAGAAATTTTTGCATCGACAACGAACGATAATAACGCGCCGAGAACATTTCAAAATTTCATAGAATCAATTAAATTAAATTAAACTTGCAAAGCAAAGGTATATGACATCAATTACTATTTCAATATTCTTGCCTCTTGCGAGTCTTAATGAAATTAAGCAATTTTTATGGATTAGCATAGAAATTAGATTTTAAATAATTAATTCAAATAATTATTTCTAAATTTAAATTTAAGATAAATTTAATAAATAAATAACTTGATAAATGATTTAATAAAATAATTTAATATATAAATGAATTTAAAATAAATTGGTTTAAATTAAAATGTAAAA